CCCCCCCTCAAATATCTAATGGTCTGCCCTTATGACAATACTCAGTCAGAATGTCAGTTAAATTTTGCATGCATGTAAAAGATACTTACATGCCAAACCGCACTGCACAACCTGAAGGGTATATTTGAATGAAAGCTGAGGTTTGAGGCTTAATGTAGCGTGCACTATAAACATAACTCTATTAAAAGTTACCTACATAATTAGTATAGTAAATGTGATGTTTCAAAGAACAACGATTCGTTATTCAAATGATTTCGTAACTTTTGAGGAAAACAGGATAAGTCCATTGACATAATATGTGAATGGTGGGTTACTGTATTTATATATGAGTTACCATCACTGATCTCAAAACTAGGACTGGATGAAGAAATCGTTTGAATTGAGGGAATTTTAAAATTCCCTAAGAATCAAAATCGTTACGTGTTCTAATTAGTTATGCTATCAAACAAATATATTTCTCTATACGTATAACTTGGACGATATAGCCGCCCACATGTCTTCCAATAAGTTTTTGATCGTTCTAAGCATGTACACGAGATAATGATACTGGAGGCAGCCATGTTGATGTAACCTCATTAATTATTCACTAGCAAATTTCAGAAGGAAGAGAAGCCTTTAACAAAGCAATTTCTTTTTAGACAATAATTTTTAATTCTTGGCAATCGCCAGAAAATTTAAGAATCTCTTCTAGCATGTCCACAACACTATGGTAGATTTGTGTGGTCACCGTCAATATGGCCACCATTGGCTTCATCAATGCCATATTTCAGTCTTAGTTTTGAGGTCATCGTGTACCATTGTGTAAACCAAGATTAACGTCGCGGTCAAACGTCCGCGCGTATTTCTGTGTTTAAAGGACTGGAAATGTTTTTATTTTTTATTTACTTTGCCATTATACTTATATGACCGGGACATAATAGACTGTTGAGACTGTTTATAATTTTCTCTTTTATTTTGAACACCTAAAATACGAGGGCGACGGTTACAAGCTATAAAAGGTAAGCTTCAACAGCTACTACACGATTATATCCATGCGTATATTTTTATACTTTTAACATGATTATAACTATAAGACAGCAATACTTCTATAAAATGACTGAAAAATAATGTTAACTTACTGGGCAACTGCCCGAGAATGTTAATTCCCTTTTTTGTTTCTTCTTTTCTTCGATTTAAAGCACTTTCTTTGACAATAAATACTTTTTATATTCTTTTGAAATCTCTTTTCATATTTTCAATTTTCTTCACTGCATTGGCAGCATGGCGTCCGTATCACCGGAAGTGATCAGCAGGAAGTTTAGCAGAAAGTTAACTAGCAATAACTATTAAAGTGTCTCTCTACAGTTTATTCAACCTGGCCACACTCTCCCCTGCTAACAAGGTGTCGTCCTCATGTCCTCGACCTAACTGTAACTGCAGAGATACGGAAATGCCAGTTATAATTATAACAAGACGCTCTATAGAGCGTTAACGCGCTTGGGCTATACAAATACGCACATTAATGTATTTGATACATAAGTACACAGCTATTTCAATTAAGATTTAAGGTTGTCCCCGAGCTAAGCGGAAAAGTCGAATACGAGCGCGAAAGGCTGTTTAACACAGCACTAAAATGCGGTGCTCTACAAATAAAACTTCCGGCGTTCCGTCTGCGACTGCAAGTAAAGTTATATTTAATACACTTTAGATACATTTTTCTGTCGACCGCCAGTTGGTCCATACGCAAGGATTAAATTGCGCTTTAAAACGTTCAAAAGAGAATATTTTGGGTCTTTTGGGCTCAAAATACAGTTAAATACTATCAAAATGAAGAGAGAAGTATATATGCGAAGAAATTTAGAAGAAATATGCGAAGAAATTTAGTAAGGATAGAAAGTGTGAAACGTGGGAATTAACACGACTAAGGAGAAAGGCCATTAAGAGCTACTGGAATGAAATATCACTTGAATTAAATGAAAACCCAAGGAAATTCTTTTCTACGTTTATGCCATTCATTAGTTCAAAGGGACAAAAGGAGACGAACGAGATCCATTTGAATATTGAAGGCAGAATAGAACAAGATCAGCGAATAGTGGCAGAAGAATTCGCAGACTACTTTTCGACAGTGGCTGATGCTATAGGAGGGGAGGAAGCCACTAATTTGACTGAGGAGAAATGCATAAACCATCGGAGTATAGAAATGATACGTGCAAGATATGAACCAGATTCGTTCTCATTTATTGAAATTAAACGAGAAGAAGTTCTTAAAGCCCTTAAGGAATTAAATCCGCGAAAGGCTACGGGGCATGATGAGATACCATCTAAGGTTTTAAAGTTGGTGGCAGAAGAGATAGCGACACCACTTACTGACATATTTAACCAAGTCATCAAATATTGTGAATGGCCTCAGGAATGGAAAATGGGGGAATGGATTCCAGCATACAAGAAGGATGATCATCACGATAAGGCTAATTACCGACCAGTAACTATATTAAGTATACTAGATAAGATTTTTGAACAGCTACTTTGTCAGCAGTTGTCTCAAAGATTTGAGAATATCTTTGATCCTTTTATCTCAGCGTACAGGAAAAATTACAGTTGCGAAATCGCACTCGTTCGTCTGGTCGAGGATTGGAAGCAGGCAATGGATGAAGGGCAAACAATTAGTATTTTGTCAACGGATATGAGTAAAGCATTTGACTCGCTGCATCCCACTTTACTCTTAGCTAAACTCAAAGCTTATGGATTCACTCAAAACGCGTTAGATTTGATGAAATCATATTTTAAAGAACGTATGAATAGAACAAAAATGCGACAGGTAACCAGCGAATGGAAAGAAACAAAGAGAGGATGTCCTCAAGGCGCTTCTTTGGGCCCGACGTTATGGAATATCTACCAGAACGATTTATTTTATGTTGAACGTGAAAGTCGGCTATCTGCGTACGCGGATGATCATCAGTTTTACTACGCCCATAAAGAACCAGAGAGAGCAGTGGACACTATAACCCGAGATGGAAAACAAACCTTCTGTTGGTACACGGAAAATTTCCTTGAAGGAAATTTAAGCAAATACCAAGCAATGACCATATCGAAAAATTCGCAAGAACTGAATATAGAAGTAGACAGTCGTAAAATTAAGATAACAGAAAAGCTTATCTTGCTGGGTGTGGAGATTGATGATCAACTGTATTTCGATGAGCATATTTCAACAGCGTGTAAAAAAGCAAGTATGCGTGTGGGTATATTGATGAGATTACGGAAATTAATTCCAGTTAATGCGAAGTTAAAGATCTACAAAGCCGCTATATTACCGTATTTGACGTACTGCGGATTGGTCTGGCACTTCTGTAAAAGCTCGGATTGTAGAAAGCTAGAACGGGTAAACGAGCGGGGGCTGAGAGCAGTTTTCTGTGACTGGAACTCAACATATGAAGATCTACTGTTAAGGGCCCAGTTAACAAGTTTGTACAACCTGAGGTTGCAAGACATAGCCATATTCATGTTTAAAGTCAAACAAAGGCTACTTCCGAACAATATATTAAATATATTTATAAACACACCAAGGAATTATAATCTTAGAAACTCAGACTTTCTTATACCGAGATTTAAGTCTGTAAAATTTGGAAAACACTCATTAAGGTATTATGGACCTTACCTTTGGTCAAAATTAAAATCCGAAGACAGAAATCAGACTTCGCTATCTGCTTTAAGCGTAGTATCAGAAAAACAGACCTCAGTTGTATTGCATGATAAACTCCATAATAATAGTCTTAGTACTAAGCTGTAGTAAATTAATTAGTGTATTATATATGTAATCATAGCAGAAATTTTAGTAATATACAATAGGTGTAAATTCAGTTGTTTAAGCTTAGTGTCCCCAATTAGTAGGTTATCTGTAACCGGCTAGATGTAAATGACACTTTAATAAAGTTCCTAACTAACTAGAAGTAAGACAAATCCACTGGTATACGGCCGAAAAAGAGAAAACCAACGATACCAAAGTTATCAAGGATCAAACGCACTGCAGAGGTCTCTATTTGTGCTGGGAACTCGAGCACAAATAGAGACCTCTGCCAGCCGGGAAGGCTTTCAAATACAGCGGCCATAAATCGCTAGAATACTGTTGTTTATATAGTATAAATACAGTTGACATCCGAAAGTACAATTTCTTACGCTGAATCGAACGGTGGTATTTGTATCCTTATATTGCGCCATTAGGCATTACAAATACAATATCATGTTTCACACTACAGGTTTCACCTTTCCACAGCTATAACTATATAAAGGGGGCTGTTGTTGGATAAATTTTATATTGATTTGACACCAATATGCTTCTCATAAAGTATATTTATCTATTAATTATAAAACTACGTTGTGTAGTTTAAGTTATAACCTTTTACCTTGAAATTGTCTTTGGCTCGTTTAGATTCAGATTCAGTATATCATGATCGTACACGGGAATTTAACGATCCAAATTTCGGATTTTCAGAGTCGTGCACCAAGAAAAATGCATTAACTAAGCTAGCAAGAATGTCCAGAGTTAGACACAATGCAATATCCATAGAAAACAGGTACAATTCGTTGAAAATTTTAACGAAATTGTTTGAAACATTTTGCCCACTCCACGAAATTGTTTGAAACATTTTGCCCACTCCACGAAATTGTTTGAAACATTTTGCCCACTTGCTGTTTCCATGTCGAAATTCCTTGTAAATTGTTCAATTTTCCTGAATTTTCCTCAAAATGCAGGGTTATTTATGAATAATTTGGGTAAAATTGGCAGGAGCCTTATGGATAATTTGGGTGAAAATTAGGCAGCTCATTAATATTCTATTTTGTGGCTATCGACTATTGGATTTAGACCCTGCAATTTCCCCCGCGACCCCAGGTGCGACCCTCCTCCCCCGATGCATGCGAACGAGCAGATGAGCAATGAATGTTCTGAGTATATGTACCTTCATCTGAACATTCACAACTCATCCACCAGCCCTCACCCACCAGAAGAAAAAGACCGCACCCAAAATCGCATCAAAAATTGCAAGTGCAAACAGGTCTTAATATGTCTAAAATTACAAACTACAATTGTGCGTAACAGCATCCATGTTTATCAAGTATTTAAACACTTCATTCTTAAACCGCACAAATGTTTTTAGTTCTCGTATTTCTTTCGGTAGAGAATTCCAATCTCTGGCAGCCGAGAATCTGAATGAGGTCTCGCCACATCTACAATCACTTTCAGAAGTTGTTGGGACACATGTAGTTTTAGATTGTAAGTGGATCATTACAGTTTTTACACAGAATACCGCTCCCCTCCCCCTCCCCCCACCCCAATCAATGTTGCTCCAACCAAAACACATCAAACCTGACGAGAAATGGGACACAACATTTAACAGGGGGCGGGGGGGGATTAAACGCCGTAATTAAACGCCGTTGCGACTTTACGCCTTCGCACGAGACAAATTGCTTCCTTTCGTGTAGATAACTCGTGAACCATTTCAGTTCGTTTCCGGTCACTCCGCTTTTCGATAGTTTGCTTATCGGGGTGTCATGATCTATGATGTTAAACGCCTTTCTCAAGTCTAGGAAGGTGCAAACAACTTTCTCTCCTTTGTCCATAGCAAACTTCCATGAATCAACGGTAATAATAAGTGCTGCTGTAGTTAACGAGTTTCTGGCGTACGCAAATTGATTGTCACCGATAAGATTATTCTCCGCTGCGAAATCTTGTAGATCGAGATTGGCGAACATTTCTTGCCCTTTGATATGCAGGGCAGAACAGAAATTATCCTTCGGTTGTCACGATCAGTCTTGGACCCGCCTTTAAACAATGGTGTCACTCTCGCTGTTTTCCACGACGACGGAAAACGACCGTACTGATAGCATGCATTGAATATGTTAGATTCAACGTTGCTGATATCAAAGGGAGCAGCGGTCTTCAAGACTTTAGCCGAAATATACGATGGCCGAGAAGGGCCATCACTGTAAACACTCGCCGTTTTTTTTTACCATTACACTCGTCGTTTTTTTCCCTTCAAAATTACACTCGCCGTTTTTTTCGTCAGAATTACACGCGACGTTTTTTCAATGCAATAATTACACGCGACGTTTTTTCAATGCAATAATTACACGCGACGTTTTTTCCAACAATTACACTCGCCGTTTTTTTAGAGTTACGTTTTAAACTGAGGGTTTCACTTCGGATGAAGATGGGAGCAATCATAAGGTTAGTGTGTTTCATCACAACAAAAAATCAATATGTATAAATACAGTACAAAATTTCACTTTTCAGTCGGTTAATTATCAATATAATGCATTGTTTTCTTTTGTGTTTTCCAAACTATATAAACAAAAGCTTTGTCTGTTTTGCCAGGGTCGTATATTTATTTTCCTTGTTGCACTTCTTCATATATAAACTGTGTCTTGCCATATCGTATATACGCCTGCAGTAGTAAATTAAAATCTGGCGTTTGAAGTTTACGCGTTTGGCGTATAAATTTTACGCTTTAACCATGCAGGGCTCTTATATATACTATATATATATAGTATATATAGCGTCCTGGCTTTAACGACTACAAGCCTTCGTAACAGTTTAAGCATAAAATTTATACGCCAAACGTAAACTTCAAATGCTAAATCTTAATTTACTGCTTTGGTGAATACATGACTATAGTGGTTAATTTGTTTTCTTGAATCATTGTTACCGGTAAATACCACAAGTTCAGTAATTGTTTACTGTATTAGGCCAATGAAAATTGATATCATGTTTCTCGTCCCCGCCCGCATGGGATTTATCTACCGCAGAAAATTTTTCATTATTCATTATTTTTGAAAAATAGGCTTAACAAAACACCAAATTCATCTCCAGATCAAAGTCTTATTGCTGCGTTCCGCAAGCGCAACTCAAATTGTATCTTTCTAAAGATATTAC